AACATATATATAAAACTTCTAACAATTTCATTACCTCGGGTTACGTGCCATGTTTGGGATTGCATGTCACGAAGGTTTTACAATGATCTGGAATGTTTTGGGAAGTTCGGGATGCATCGATATGCTTCGGGAATCATTTGGACAGTTTTTGGATTTTTGGCCCCAGCGAATCGTGTGGGTCCCACGTCGGGATTTTTGGGTTTTGAGTTATTTTCTTACTTGAAAATAATTATCTTGGATGTCATTTATTTTATTTATGAGGGTGGAATGGTCTTTTGAAGATTGAATGGCGTTTTAGTAGTTCAATGAAGAGGTGGGGGTATTTTAGTCTTTTGGCAAGGTCACCCTTTTGACCAAGCCTTTGTTTGACACTTAGAGCCCACATGGCAGCCCAAAGGCATTCCTTGAGTGACTCCTCACATAGAGGATTTCGACAGAGGGGTTTTCATGTTAATTCCCTTCTCTTCTTCTTGATTCCTTTGAGTTCATGGCGGACTCATTTTCAAGCCCAAAATTGAGAGACTTGTGGTGAGAATTTGATGGTGAGGTGTGAATGAAAAATGACCTAGAGGAAGTGAGGTTTCCATTGATATATTATGTGTGTCCATTCCTTTAGTTGTGTGCCACGGAAACTGTCTTGAAAGAGAAGGGGTTTAGTGTGTGCAAAGGAAGCTTGTTCTTCATCTTTTCCTCCAATTGTGGGTGGGTTTGATCAACCTTGGAATGGCTTTGGAGTGTTTGTGCCAAGGGTTTGAACTCCCTTGAGGTAGGATTTGCTTAACCCTCACACCCTTTACCTTTAAGGAATTATTCGTAATGATTTTTGCTGAAAAACAGTGTTTAAAACTGAAACTGTTCGTCCCAGGCTCAAGCTTAAAGCCTCAGGCTCGAGCACTGTTTCTGCATAAATTCTGCACTGCGACTTGAAATTCAATTGAGCATAACTTCCTCATTTTAAACCCAAATTGGGTGATTCTTGAGTCTAAACTGACCGGCTCGAAGTAAGATTTCCAATGGTATCAATTTCAGGCATAGATTCCACTTATAAAGAGAGTTATGACCTCTTTAGTGTAGACTGCTCCTGTTAAAATTAGAAATTGTACTCCCAGAGCTCGAGGCCGAACCCAGGGCTTGAGCCGTGTTGTTAGGAAGTCTGGAAATTCGCTTCCAGAGCTCGAGCCGGACTTCTGAGGCTCGAGCTTCGTGTGCTCAATGCTCGAGCCCAAGTCCCAGGGCTCGAGCCTTTTCTATAGAAAGTGTAAATTGAGAACTGTAATTGTAAATTCCTAAGGAACATTGAGGATACTTGAAATACAATTAATTGTTTAGTTTATTCATGATAATTCATGGGGTATTTGATGAGTGGGAACAACTAGTAGGGTTAAATGTGTTTTACGGGAATGAAGGGCAATGTCGTCATAACGATTAGTTATAGAATTGTCCCTCTAGTTGAGTATCTTATGTGAGTACATTATTGTCATAGCAATGTTGTAGCATCTCGGGGTGGGTTGCATGCATTCACTATGCATGGTATTGTGAGGATGTGGTGGGTTCCTACTTGCCTTAGGCAATGGTTAGAGTTCATATTGTATTCATTATACATGGCATCTTATTCCAGTGTTGTTATGAGAGTGTCATTACACAGTTGACATGGTATGCTATTATTAAATTCATTTAGCATGGGTTACATTGCATGGTCATGGGGATGGAGGTTGGAATGGAAAGGAAAGTGGAAATATTTCATTAAATGATTTTGAAAACCGGATAACAGGGAGGTGCCTTGTATCCGTGAGATTTGAAAATGGGAATAAATAATGATTTTAAAACCGGATAGCAAGGAGTGGCTTTGCATCCGTGCAGTTAATGGGAATCTAGAGGAGACGTAGGGAGAGGCTCTACGCGTAATTGTGTCACTAGGCCTTAAATGATCACAAGGAGTGGCCTTTTATCAGGGATAGATGACCAATTCTCTTCTCGTGGTATGGGGGAGCAGCCCTGGGCGGATTACATGAACTTTTTGTGATGAAACAAGGTTTCGGGAAGTGAGAAGTGTTAGTGGCATTAGCATTGGCATTAGCATTGCATGACACTTCATTTATCATATCATATTTTTAGTTGAGGGGAGTTGTTGGTTGATGTTCGGGAAAAAGGGAAGTGTCATTGGCATTGTCATTACATTTCATGGCACTTCATCTCATCATACATGTATTGTTATTCTGATTATCATGTTTACCATTCTCTTCCATCCGTTGGTTATGTGTATTCCTTATGTGTTGTATCTTAAGGAGATGAGATAGAATCCTAGTATTGGAAAGAGAAGGAAAGGAAAAAGGTAAAAGGGTCTACGTCTAGGACCAGGTCAGATATTGATTAGAAAAAATGTGGTAATTGTAGAGTAATAGAGATGGATATTCTCAGTTTGTGTTTGTGATTAGACAAGAGTGGTTATCCTTTTGTTTAGGTTCAGTAAAACAATAATGCTAAAGGGTTCCTTAGGTAATAATAGAGGGATAGTCTTTTCATGGTACAGGAGCATACCTCTGGCCTGATGGTTGTAGTAATTAGAAAGGTGGTACTTTTTATATAAAAAGGGGAATGGTATTGATCTGTTTATATGACACTTCATATTATTCTGTGTTGACTGTTCTTGTGAGATAGCATGATTATGTGATGATTATTTCCCCCTGACTAGTATGACTCCCTTTCTGATTCCTATTCTTTGTTTGGATTCACGGGGGTATTAAGAAGTGGTGTTTAGGCATTTCCCGCTGAGCTGTGGTTTGCTCATTCCTATTATATATACATTTTTTTTCAGGTTATGGACAGGAGGTTGTAGAGGGAGTTCCTCCACAGTCATGGATGGATGTCGGGTTTTATTTTGTTGTACATCTTTTGTATAAATGGAAAAATGTATATTTTGAGACCGGCATGTATATTTGTAAATATTTTCCAAACAGATCGTGAATATTGTAATTAAAGGGTTATGGGATTTTAATTATGAAACTTACTTTTATATTTTCAGATAATGTGTGGATAGAGAAATGGACTTTGTGTATGCATGTTGGGACAAGGTACTTTATTTAAAATGATTTTTGAAACAAGGGATTCTCTTAATATCAACCATGAGCATTAAAGTTTTATTTAAAATTTTTGGACAGTGTTTCAGGGCTCGGTCAAACATTTCTGAATACGAGCATTTCTTTGTTCTGTTTTATGTTCACAACCTGGATTACGGTCTGGGGTTGTGACACTATGTGTTTATCAAAATGTCTATATGAAAGTCATTCTTGATGGCTGCCCATTTTGGAAGCATGTATTAGCACAATCCCTTGATTATTACTCACATTGCATTGCATAGTGTGTGTGTGTGTGTGTGTAGTGGAACACAAGTGTGAGTATTGAATTTCCATAAGTTTATGGTGCTGATTTTCCCAAGTTTGTGGAAATGGTTTGAAAATGGGATTGGTTCTGGTTGAAACATGAAGGGCATGGTCCGAGGGTTGAAAATTCCAAAACTTAGCCAAGCGGGTGTCGTTACCAACGGGCTAGTAACCTGTGAAGCAAGGGTAGGGATATGAGAAGGTACCCCATATTCGGTTGTAAACCAATCCATGTGTTTGTGTCGATTTTTTTATCACAAGGTCATGTTGTGTGTGTGAGTCCATGTGGGGGACTTCACGTGGCGACCTATGTGAGTGGGTGCAAGGCACTGGCAGGCTACCACGCTAGGCAAGCTACAGGTGCACAATCCCACATCGCCTGGGTATAGAAAAGGCAAGTGCTATATGTAAATTCAACATCTTTCTATGGCACAATGCGTTTTAAAGTCGTGATGGCCGTGAACCCACTACAACTCCAGAGTTAAGTGTGCTTAACCTGGAGTAGTACCAGGATGGGTGATCCCCATGGAAAGTCTCTGGTCAGGGGAGCCAAAAGCGGATAATATTGTGTCTGGCTAGGGTGAGGGTTGTTACAAATGGTATCAGAGCCAGACATAGCCGGAAGTGTGGCCAACGGGGACGTTGGGACCCAAAAGGGGGGTGATTGTGGCAACCTATGTGGGCAGGTGTTTGTGGGTGGGTGTGAGGCAGAGGTAAACTACCACACTAGGCAAGCTACAAGTGCAATCCCATATCACCTGGGTGTGGAAAAGGCAAGTGCTATATGTAAATTCAACACCCTTCAACACAACGCGTTTTAAAGCCGTGATGGCCATAAACCCACCAGAACTCTAGAGTGGGAGTAGTACCAAGATGGGTAACCCAAGTCTCTGGTCCGGAGGAGCCAAAAGCGGACAATATTCTGTCTGGCTAGGGTGAGGGTCGTTACACTTCATGATGCATAGGTGTGCATTAGCATATGATTTGGATGGTGTTCCTAAAGTTATTTTGCTTAAGTTGTGTTGTAGTTCCAGTACGCCAACATTATTTTACTCTTTGGAATTTGTGGTAACTTATACATCTACTATACTTCTATCCTTAAAGCTTGATCCCTTCTTTGTTTCACTTTGTGCTATGTGGGCATGACTTACAAGACTTTAGGAAGTGTTATTTAGCCACTCTCTACTGAGCAATTTTAAGCTCACCCGTTGACAACATTTCAGGTGAAGAACAAGGGGAGGGAAAGATTCCTCAATCTCAACCTTGAGGTTGCACATGTCAAGCTTGGAATGTGTTTTGATCATTGTAGCAGCTACTTTCTTGGTGGACTTGATTGTATAGGAGTTGCAGCATGTGTTTTGATGCCATGTTTGTAGTGTCTTGGATTCCATGTACACATAATGACACTTATAATTATTTTTTTTGAGTTGTGGCTAGTAACTTATGTATCCAAGACCTTGAAAGGTTTTAGAACACATGGAATGACCATATTTGGATTTCCACATTTGGACTTGAGTGAGAGTTCAATTCCTCACCTATCCTTTCCATGCACCGGGTTTTATAGATCCGGGGCGTGACAATACAACTAACACAAAATATTAATAATAAAAAATGGTCCACCTGGTTGATATAAGGCTCCATCTGATGCAATAGCTCATATCCCTGCATGAAAAAAAATAATAATAAATAAACACACACAAACAAACAAACAAAAATATGTAAAGCAACATGTATGCAATATCGCACACTGGAAAGGAATATGGAGACGTCATTATATCATTACCTGTTTGAAGTAACGAAGATGAGCATCCATCATCCCACAAACAGCCTCTAAAAACATAAACCTCTTTTTTGCCTCAACATTAGAAAGAGCACCAACCTGAATTTAGAAAAGTATTACAAATTTTAAAAGCCACGCTACTACAGAATTGCATTTTATCTAGATTTTTATTGCCAAAAACATTTCTTACAAGATTAAAGCGGGCTTGGTCAAATGTGGATCTTGCGTTGTGAAGTTCCTGGAATGTCTCTATACCATATTAGAATTCAAAAAGGATGGTTACCCATAGCAAACTATGTGATCAAACAGTGCAAGGAGCTAACATTACTGAGTATAAATGAAAGGCATTACTGGATACCTCTTCTATGGCAGCAGTTATATCCATCCGAGAGTTTTTTCTCAGTGACAGAAACTTCTCACGCACCTGTTGTGCAAAATGGGTATCACTGTTGGGAAGACACTAAATAAACTATCAAATAGCATCAAGTTGGTCAAATTATTCATGCACACCATTCATCTAACATGTTTAGGGTACTCACTGCATTTCTTAATTGAATTTCTGGCCAAACATTCAATATGCAGATTTAGGTTCAGATTACAAAATTGGTAAGACATTAAGAGGCTTTAAGTTGTGCCTTTCTATTGCCAGATTTCTACCCTCAACAAGAATACATAATGGAACTTCAATAAAAAACTGCGAAGACTCTTTTATTTTAGTTTTGCATTCTTTCTTTCTTTTTATTTTCATGAATGCTGGGTAAAGTGGAGAAGTGCCTCGGAAGTTTTGTTCGACTGTAGAATACATATAAAGTTAAAGCGAAGGCTTTATAAAACAGGAGTAAGGCCAGCTGTGTTCATGCTACAAATGCTAAGCAATAAAGAAAAACGTTTACTGGTCACCTACCCACAAACAAATCGTCATCTCCCTCTCTCTACATTCCTGTTTCTCTCGCTAGCTTTCCCTGTTTCTCTTTCTCTATCTCTGTCAGTAGCTTCATTCGCTTAAACATAATTGTTATCTCTATTGCATGCCCAGGCAAGGCTAGGCCAGAAACTATATGGTAAAAAAGCATACATTTTGCCAAAAATCATGCACTTCGTATAAAATTTTGGTCGTGCACAATCATATCCCAACATTTTGCAAAGGCATATGTAAGTCAATTGCCAATGGGAGCATCCAATTTTCAGCCTTTTAGCCTTCACTGACAAAGCGTACCAACACTTGGTGTCATCCAGAGATCCTAAGTAACCATACCCTACTTTACAGAGACTAGTGTTGGAACGTGAGAGTCCAAGAGAGGACTTTTAGCTGATCACTCACATAGTTCTTTGAGAAAGAACAAACATGGACATTTTTGGAATACTTTTTAATTTTAAACCCAATTGAAAGAGTTGCTTTTAGAAGTTGATGTTTGGTGGTGGCCTCAAGCAGAAGGAGAAAGCAAGGAGGTAGAGAACTAGTTTGTTCTTACTTCTAGGGAATTATGGCAACAATGGCTCTTGACGTTGCTTTAAAATGAATTTGGTTCGAGTGTAAGAAATTTAGGTAGCATTAGAAGAAACTAGTGTATAATATAGATCCATTTAAAGTCAATAGTGACTTAAGACCATGCATTTTGCAATGATCTTGAGGAACAGCAGGCTTGACTTAATCAGAGATCTACTGGGGTTTTGATTTGAACTCCAAATTTAGCTGTCAGAATGCTTCTGGCCCCAATATATGTGTGTGAATGAGAGAGAGAGAGAGAGAGAGAGGGAGATGATATATACAGACATATATATAAGTGTATGGCCAAGGGCATTTCAAGGAAAAGAAGGATCATTTTTTACTTTAAAACATAAAAGGCATCTCACATTTTAACGGTCCTCCTCTAACGCTATTTGATAAAAGGTACTAAGATGCAACATTTTATCAACGTAATGGAGCTATATATAATAATAATAATAATAATAATAAATAAGTATTTTGAGGGTGTTGTTACATGCACAATATCTATATTACGAGGGTGTTTTATGCATTTAATAAAAATATATATATATATATACAAAAAAAAAAAAAAAAAGGATTAAATATGAAGCTGTCATTACTTATTCAAGAAAAAAGAAAATCCCAAGTTTGACAAAACTGCAATAAAATTGAGAATGGAAAATCAATGGAATTCTGCAGCTCAAAGAAATAATGGCCTTAAATTATTTTCAGAACTATTGAGACCTGATGCCCACCTGGTCATATATAATGCTGGCCTTGTCAAAACGCTTCCGAGCTTCCTGAACCAATAAAGAATTTCTTATAACTTAAATATAAAAGCTGCTTGGTATTGTGAGTGGTAAAAAGCTGAAAGTAGGTGACAGTTGTAAACATGTAGAAAACCATAAAAGTGAAATTTAAATGCACTCATTGAGAAATAATGATCTGAACATCATGCATTGTGAAATATTAACTACATGACAAGAACACTTCAACCTTAGCCACTGTACATACTAAAAATATGATTTCATTATGTGCAGTGAGTGTAGTGATGAATATGTTATATTTTCAAAAACAAATGTAGTAGTAGCTGCTGGACTGAAATAGCAGGGAAGCAAACAAGATTTGCTGGCACCTACACCATTTGTATGCAAATTAAAATCTAAAGCATTGGTCAGACAGTACCTTGATATCATGCAGGTCAACATTGACAAAGTCTAATAAACTATCACTTAGCATGTGCTCTACCTGGAAAGGAAATTGGAGATCATCAGATAATAATTAAAATAAAAATTATCAATATCCGGTAAAAATATAAAATGAAAGAAACATCCCAATGTCCTAAATCATTATGCTGAAAAAGTAATATGACACCTGAGGAAGCTACTAAAAAAGAAATGAAAGTACTGTTTTCATTTGACATCAGGTAACAAGTAACAATTATCCAATTATGACAGAACAACCCAAGTGTGATGCTGCAGACAAATAATTTAACAAACAAACCCTGTCTTCAAATTATGGGCTGTGGAAAAATACGAGTTAGTCTCGTTGATTAGTGGTAGGTTAGCACTAGAATTGTGTAAATATTTGTTTCCTAGAGTTTAGGGATTTGTGTAAATATTTGTTTCCTAGAGTTTAGGGATTTGATTGATAGAGAATCAGGGATTCCTGATTATAGGGTTTTCAAAATTTAGTTAGTTGCTGATTTTTCTATCTGTAATTTCTTATATATAGCCCAACAGAGGCACTTGTAAAATATTAACAGATTCAACATAATTGAATTTATTTCACCACATGGTATCAGAGCCGTAAGGCTTGGATTTCCTGAAAATAAAAAATTCAGCGGTTTTTTTTTTCTTTCTGTTCAGACCTTCATAGCCAATTTTCTCTGTGACTTGCCTTCATCGCAGTCATTCTCTGGCAATTTCTTTTGCCAATTTTCGCATAACCCTTCTGTCCGGCCTTCATAGCCGATTGTTGAAGAATGTCAGAAACTACTACTCAACCTTCCCAATCACCCGAGGAAGAGCAGGTTCAGCGCTCCACAAGTGAACTGCAGAATATTCAACCGGCATACCGACTTAATGGAAGAAACTACTTGAAATGGTCTCAATTGGTTCGAACTTTTCTGAAAGGAAAAGGGAAATTAAGTCACTTGCTGGGAACAGAACCAAAGAAAGGTGTTGCAGGTTTCGAAGCGTGGGACGAGGAGGACTCAATGGTCATGCCCTGGTTCTGGAATTCCATGACACCCGAAATCAGCGATACATGCATGTTTCTACCAACTGCGAAGGCCATCTGGGATGCTCTCAACCAGACTTACTCCAAGGTTCATGATGCGATGCAAGTATACGAGATCAAGACAAAGACAACATCTACAAAACAGGGGAACAAGTCCGTGACTGAGTATGCCAATTTTCTGCAAAACCAGTGGCAAGAACTGGATTACTACCGGGTGATTGATTTGAAGTGCAGCGAATGCGCTGTAATTATCAAAAATTTCGTTGAAAAGATCGAGTCTATGATTTTCTCGCTGGCCTAAACTCTGAATTTGATCAAGTCAGAATTCAAATTTTGGGCAAGGAGGAGGTACCATCTCTTAATGAGGTGATTTCATTGATTCAGGCTGAAGAGAGTCGGAGAGGAATCATGCTTGAACCTCAGTCGATTGACAACTCAGCACTCGTAGTCTCTGGTGACAACGAGCGGGGTTTCACTCTAGAACAACCGCAAAATGCCGAACATGGAAAGGCGGAATTATCAAAAGGGGCAAACAGAGATAATCTCTGGTGTTCATACTGTAAAAAGTCGCAACATACCAGGGATCGTTACTGGAAATTACATGGGAAACCACACACATCCAGCTGAGAATGGGGAAACAAAGGAGGACAGCAGCAACGACAAGAAGGACAAGCCCATATGACCTCACAAGTGGGTCAGGACCAGGCAAAAGAATATGGAGGATTCGACGGTGAAGAAATAGAGAAGTTAAGAAACCTGCTGGGAACCCTTGAGAAACCATCTTCTGGTGCTTGTTCTTTAGCCCTCACAGGTGAGTCTTTATTCTCCCTTGGATTAAATGTTTCTGATAAATTGTTTGTGGATTCGTGGATCATAGACTCGGGAACCACAGACCACATGACACATGCCTCAAACCAGTTCAGCACTTATACCCCATGTCCTAACAATAGGAAAATCACTGTTGCTGATGGAACCACAACCATGGTTGCTGGTGTAGGAGGTATCCATATCACCCCTAGTCTTGTTCTTAAAAATGTTCTACATGTTCCTAAATTGTCCGCTAACCTTGTGTCCATTCAAAAGCTTACTAAAGACTTACATTGTCATGTTACGTTTTATCCCTCTTACTATGAATTTCAGGACCAGGATTCGGGGAGGAGGATTGGATGTGCTAAGGAAAAGGAAGGACTCTACTACCTTGAGACACCGAGCCTTCCAAGTATGATCAGGACAAATTTATCCTCTTCGTTTCTCTCTTCTTCTAATAAAGTTGTCATATGGTTGCATCATTTTCGTCTCGGACATCCTTCTTTTGCAATTCTAAAAATCATGTTTCATTCTTTGTTTAAGGGATTAAATATTGGGACATTTCATTGTGATATTTGTGAGTATGCAAAACACACTTGTGTATCCATTAGCAATAAAAGAAGTTCCACCCCTTTCTATTTAATTCACAGTGATATATGGGGACCTCCACAGTCCCAAATGTTTCCGGTTCATGGTGGTTTGTGTCCTTTATCGATGATTGCAATATAGTCTCTTGGATATTTTTACTCAAAAACAAATTAGATGTGAGTAATATCTTTCTCAATTTCCATACAATGATCCACAATCAGTTTGGTACCAAAATAAAGAGGTTTAGGTCTGATAATGCGAGGGATTACTTCAATCAAGTCTTGCCACCCTTCTTTCAAAAGGAATGAATTATTCATGAGTCATCTTGCATTAACACTCCACAACAAAATGGAGTAGCCGAAAGGAAAAACGATCATCTCCTAAACACTACTAGAGCACTCTTATTTCATTAAAATGTACCAAAATACTATTGGGGGAAGCAATACTTACATCTGCCTACATCATAAACAGACTTCCTTCACGGGTTTTAGGGTCAAGAAGTCCAATGGAAGCCCTTTCTAAATTCTAGCCCGACCTTAGTGCCACAAAAAACCTTACCCCTAGCATATTTGGGTGCACTTCATTTGTTCATGTCCATAGCAACAACCGGGGCAAATTAGATCCTAGAGCCATTAAGTGTGTGTTTGTAGGATACTCGTCCACACAAAAAGGTTACTGAAGGTTTTTTTAAGAAGAAAAATATTCAGTCTTCTTATTTTTCAAGAGAGATAATTACAAGATAAATAGTAGAGGAAGGCCACCAAATCAGGAAGCCCACAAAATCAGCAAATCAAATCAGCAAAACTCTAAGCTAGAAAACAGAAATCTGAAATAGTAGTGTCAGATTTTATTTTCAAAAATTGAATTTCCTAATTTATTTCCTAGAAATCTGACAACCCCCCTCAAGTTGGAACGTAGATATCTATCATGCCCAACTTGCTTATAAAGAGCTCAAAACTAGGTCTGAAAAGTCCTTTGGTGAAGATATCGGCTATTTGTTGAGTAGTAGGAACAAAATGCATGCAAACAGCTCCACTATCAATCTTCTCTTTTATGAAGTGTCTGTCAATATCCACATGCTTCATGCGATCATGTTGTACTGGATTTTGTGCAATATTTATGGCAGCTTTGTTGTCACAATACAATTTCATTGGCATGTTCATCGGCATCTGCAGCTCATCAAGAATTCTCTTCAACCATAGTATCTCACAAACTCCGTTAGCCATAGCCCTATATTCTGCCTCAGCACTGCTCCTTGCAACCATATTCTGTTTCTTGCTTCGCCATGTGACCAGATTTCCCCAGACATAAGTACAGTATCCAGACGTGGATCTCCTGTCAATAACCGAGCCTGCCCAATCTGCATCAGTGTATGCCTCTGCCTCTATGTTCTGTTGTGTGGCCATTTGCAAGAGTAAACCCTTGCCTGGTGTACTTTTCAAGTATCTGAGAATCCGATAAACTGCTTCAAGATGTTTCTTGTAGGGTGAATGCATAAACTGGCTTACCAAACTCACAATAAAAGCAATATCGGGCCGTGTATGTGCTAGGTAAAATAACTTTCCCACCAACTTTTGATACCGAGTTGTATTCACTTGACCACCTTCCTTGTCATCTCCAAGTTTCTGATTGGGATCGATTGGAGTGTCTGCTGGCCAACAACCAATCATCCTAGTCTCCTTAAGGAGGTCAAGGACACACTTCCGTTGGGAGACAACAATCCCTTTCTTCGACCGAGCAACCTCCATTCCAAGGAAATACCTTAGAGATCCCAAGTCCTTGATCTCAAATGTTGATGAGAGGGAAGTCTTCAATCGATTCATCTCAAGTACGTCATCTCCAGTGAGAATTATATCGTCAACATACACAATCAATATTGCTATCTTCCCATCATGTGAATGTCTTATAAACATTGTATGATCACCTTGCCCTTGAGTATACCCTTGGCTTTTAACAAACTGAGTGAACTTCTCAAACCAGGCTCTTGGTGACTGTTTCAACCCATATAAGGACTTCTTCAGTTTACACACCTTTGTGCCAGACTTTTCACCAAATCCTGGAGGTACATCCATGTACACTTCTTCCACCAGGTCTCCATTGAGGAATGCATTTTTTACGTCCAACTGTTGCAGAGGCCCGTCACGATTAGCTGCAAGTGACAAAAGAACTCTTATAGAGTTTAGCTTTGCGACTGGGGCAAATGTCTCCAAGTAATCAATGCCATAAGTCTAAGTGAATCCCTTTGCCACCAATCGAGCTTTATACCGTTGTAGAGAGCCATCAGATTTATACTTGATTGTAAACACCCATTTGCACCCTACAGTTGACTTTCCTCTTGGTAGATCAACTAACTCCCACGTGCCATTTTTTTCAAGAGCTTTCATCTCCTCAAAGACAACCTCCTTCCACTCAGGTACTTTCAGAGCATCCTGCATAGTATTAGGAATCTCCATACAAGACCATTGTGAGGTAAAAGCACGAAAAACAGGTGAGAGATGTTCATGTGACACATAATTGGACAATGGATGCTGGGTGCAAGACCTCACACCCTTCCGGACAGCAATGGGAAGTTCAAAATCATCGAACTCGGGATTGGAATTAGACTTGGGTTC